CAGCGACGACGACGCCCGCCCATGAAGCCGAGGCGGATGAACAGCCTCTTGGCCACGTCTCGGGAGCAACCGTAGGCAGAACGCACATCCGCGATGAAGCCGTCGCGGTTGTGGTTGTACTCCTTGACGATCCCGGGGCAGCCTTCGAAGTTCGCCTCGAACTGGGAGAAGACGCTGTTGACCACGTCCCCTGGAGCCCCTGGCGGCAAACCTCCTTGACCAGCCGGGAGTGCGCGAAGGCAGAGGTGCAACTGAACGCATGCGGCACATCACAGAAGTCCTCGGGAGGCTCATCCCCCTCGTCCACGCCAGAGAAGCGCCTGCCAGCGAAGCCGCCCGGGATCGTGCTGTCGCGCCAGCCCACCGTCATGTGGCCACCGCGCTCCCGCACAAGGAAGAAGCCGAGGGTCTCGAAGAGGCTGTAGCCGCTCTCCAGGATCAGCTTGCGGGTGCCGCGGAGCTTCATGAAGGCGCTCGCCCTGTTCACCGGCTCCTCGAGGATGACGAGGTTCTCCGCCTTGCGCTTGCCGCCACAGGGCTCCGGGCAGGACGCCTCCTCCGCCCGAGTCTTCCTGGGCCGCCCTGGGCCTCTCTTCGCCTTGGCTTTCGGAGCCGGCGGTGCTTTCGGAGCCGGCGGTGCTTTCGGAGCCGGCGCTGCTTTCGGAGATGGCGGTGCTTTCGCTCCGCGGCGGCCTCGAGAGGATCTTAAGCTTCAGCTCGCAAGAGTTCATGACCTGGCTCCGCGTCTGCGCCGTCATCGTGCTCCACCAGTCCTCTGCCAGATCCACCCTCTCCTCCCACATCTCCAGGAGGTAGCGGGTTGCCTCTGTGCTGCGCTCAGAACCTCCGTGTTTGTCGGGATGGATGAGGCTCAGCATCTTCTTGTAGCACTGCGTCGCCGTCAAGGACGGGAAGATGCGGACGCCGAAGCGCCACAGGCCGCCATGCCAGTTCGGCAGATGGGCCAGCACCAAGTCCACCGCTGCCTCCCTCGCAGCTGCGCTCGCCATGATCGCAGAACTCCCGAGGCTCTCGAGAAAAAAAAAATGCACTCCGACAAGTACGCTTGATGACCGGCGCTCAGACTGCAGCTTCAAGAAGGCAGCAACCCCCAAGCTCGAGGCCAGCTGAAGGCGA